ATAAGCGGCCAATTACTGACCAGCTGTTAGCCGTGATAAACCAATATTTAATTAAATATGAAAAGTATCAAAGCTAAATTATTCTTTTTACAAATACCTTTGTATATCAATCAGTTGTTTTTCGCTGGTTACATATCTCATGACCATGTCTTCCTTCTCCTTATTAACCGCGGCACATTCCTTCTTCAGAGCTTCTTGCGTGTCCAGCGATGTGCTCAAGTCGGCCGTTAATTTATTGACAGTTTTCTCCAAATTCTCCACTTGTAAGATAAGCGCGTCCGTACTCGTCTCGGTTTCTCGAAGCGAGCTATTCGATCGATTTAACTTCTTTAAATATTCCATTTTCTTCAGTTTTGAATACTCGAATTTTAAACTAGTATAATCCTTTAATAAGGCAAGATATAACGGATGTTCTAAAGAGCCGTATTTTAAAATATTTGAATCTGCCAATGCACTGAAATCAGACGAGTCTTCTTTATACGGAACATCATACAACTCGTCCGTCTGCAGAAAACTTTTATTTTCATCCGCCTCTGCCGACGACACGTCGCGTTTTACTCGTTCATCGATCACGTCGCAATCTAATCTATCATTGTTTTTAAGTACGTGATACTTCTTCTCGTCTGATATTTCATTCTCAAGATTATTATGTAACAGCTGTTCTTCAGAATCATCGTACGTTTTGTTTTCTTGCGTACATGCAAATGGATTTGCCTCTTTCTCGTTTTTCATCACACTATCCAAGTTATCCTCGCTCTTGTCGTGACTTTTTTTTACCGTACAATCCGTCGTATTAGTCCGACTTGTCGCTGAATCTGTATCCAATCCAGACGTTACGTTAGTCGAAGGATATGCGCTATCGGTACAAAATCCCGCGGCATCGGTTTCGATAGATTTCGACATGTGATTGTACTTCAACGCCAAATTCTGCGGTAGTAAAGCCTTTTCCATGATGTTCGTCGACTTTTCCGTGATGAAATTCAAAAAGTTACGGCTCTTGTTTAAAAGCTGAACGTTCGACTGCATTATGTTCATTGGATTCGTCAAGAGAGACATTTTTACGAGTTTACTATCATCGGCTAACGTTGGCCGGGATACTGAACCTCGCGCATTAATACTTAGTGTCGGAGTTGAACTCGGTCCATTTTTCTTGCACACATCTACCTCGGTTTGATTTCGCTCATTCGCAGTCTCGTTATCGTTTACCCGTAATCGTGAATCTATCGTTTCTCCGCAAAATTGTTTCGTTTCGGATACGTCACCTTCTGCAATCCGTTCTTCAAGGTAATTTTTCTCGCATTCATCTTCCATTCGATCACTCTGACACGCTTTAACAGTCTTTTCATTTATGAAACACTGTGAATCAGATAAAGGATTTTTCATCTCGTTCAAACGATTGAACAATGTCTCTTCCTCATCGGTGCAAGCTGTCGCTACATTTCTCCGTGTAAGTACATTCTTTTCAAACGCGCTAACTTGATTGCTAACTAAATATGAATCCAAAGATGCTATCGCAGGTAACGAAGCACTCGTGCAGCGGGAATGTGAATGGCGAAGAGATTCATCGTCGTACGAAAGGCGACTCTCGCTACTGGACAACTGGCAAGCTTGAAGTTTTGTATTGGGAACGTCGGCGACAGACTTATCCTCCTCGAAAGTGATGGGTAGGCTTATGTTGTCCGTCGAACAATTTGATCTTATCTCCCTACCATTCCTCCTTGATAACGCCGAGTCGCTTTTGCTTTCAAACATGTTGCTCTCACAACGGTCACTTCGTACTTGCGAAATATTATCCTGCATTGTCATTCCTGGTGCAAAAATACATTGTCATCATTATCTTCAGAAATTAATAACTACTTAGAAGGCATCGAATAAGCTAGGGTACGTGTTGTTCACAATCTAATTCCGTGTTAGAACTTTGCATTAATTTGCTGTATAAAACGCCAGGGAACTGATTATTTTTTAAATTATTGCTTATTATACACAAACAAATTTCATGAAAAAAATCAATATGCACGCACATATGCACGCCGAAACGGGGTCCGTCTCCCCGTTCCTCGGGCTTGGATTTGTACCTTCGAGCAGACGGGCGTCGTGCCTCGTGGGTGAGTTGACCCGGTCGTGTTCCACGGCGGCGAAATCCGTTTCGTCCCCAAAAGGCTCCAGACTCTCGCCCATGCCCGATCGTGGCGATCGAAGCACAGACGTGTACGTCTGTTAGGTGCTGTTAGGTCAGCCGTGTCTCACGAGTCACAACCTCACAACTTCGTCGTGTTCGCGAATGTTCGCGCGGGCTTGCCGAGCCCCGGCATTACGGGCAGACGGGTCGCGAGACGCATCCGAGATTCTCTATAAAATTGAAAAAAAGCGTACCCCACGCGCGAGGAACCGCCCGCCAACCCCCGGCCACGCAACTGTCAATAGTAACGCACAACTGTCAATAGCCGTCACCAGCACCAGCCGTCACCGCTGTCAGTCCCTGGTGCCTCTGGTGGCGAGCAGTGTTGTCAGGTGAGTCGCTCTTTCCGCGCATGCGCGTCAAGTACAGCATCGCGATGGTATTTAAATTCGAATTAATTTGTGCAGATCCTGTAGGAGCCCTATTTTGATCGCTCTTATAAAGACAAAGTTGTACGCAATAGATACATGTAAAAAAAGCCACATTTCAAGAATAATTCTACGTTTATAGAAACAATGCAGTAATATATAACGCGACCTGGGACTCGCGCGTGCGCCGCGCCGTTCCGAGGCACGTCAAGAGCTAACCACGTGACCGATAAACTCGGGTTTTGCACTTGAGCTGAACTCTTAGCACTTTTCATCTTCTTTCCTTTTCTCTGCTTCTCACTCCACTTGTTGTGTGTACACAGTACACACACAGCTGTCGTCGAGGCAGACGAGACGTCGATCACTGGTTGATACCGGTTTACGCAGTTGACCTCACGGAAATATCAATTAAACGGTCCGTCCGCAAGTCAACACTATGAGTTTACGCTGGAAAATATTTCACGGAATTAGACAGAGGTATCTATATTAGCTTGACTCTTTTAAAAATACAACACTAGCTATTCCAAACAGTATTATGTTTTATACAACATATTTTTGTATGTATAATTTCACACGTGTGTCACCAATTAATTTCAGATCGCAGATACCACCGCTGCAGGTGATAGTAAGAGGTTATAACACCTGCCAGCAGTCTCCCACGGAGAAGGAGCATGGGTCCTCCAGGAATACGCGAGATCCTGCTACGTTGTACGCAACGTATGTTGCCGTTGCCGCCTTAGGTATATCTTATTACATCACTTTCAAATACAAAAGAAACGTCTACGCTCTCAGCGCAACGCAAAACGTACAATGTGGTCAATTACGCAAGGACATGAAGACCTACACTCTGGAAGAAGTGGGGAAGCACGATAGCAAGGAAAATCGTATCTGGGTTACCTTCGGGCAGGGTGTATACGATATAACGGAATTCGTCGACAAGCATCCGGGCGGCCCCTCAAAAATTATGATGGCTGCAGGCGGCACCGTCGATCCGTTTTGGACCATATTCGCGAATCACAATACGCCGGAGATCCACTCCCTGCTGGAATCCATGAGAATCGGAAATATATCGGAGGAGGACGCTGAATCTAATAAGAGCGATCTGTACGATCCGTACGCGAACGAGCCCGCCAGGCATAAGGCCCTAATAATTAACGGCAATAAACCCTTCTGCGCGGAACCGTCATCGTCG